CACAATTACAGCATTAATGCACCATTTGTAATTCATTATACCCTTGATCAGCAATATTTCTGGTTGGGATTCTCTGGTCTAGGAAGCAGAAGAAATAGTCCCCCCGAGGCTCAATGTGAAATATGTTATAAACTTTAAATTACTTTTATCAGGAGCAGGTATTTCTACTATCCTTAGGAGTCTGGAAGCCTTCACTAATGCTTTGCTCCTTGCTTTTATGACCCTCTCCAATTTAAGAGTTTCCTCAGTGGCCCCACTAATGTATAAGTTGGCTGAAGCCAACTCAGAAAGCCTGTCACAATAAAACTTGAGTTTAGGCTCCATTTGCTTGGCTTTTAAGGATTTATTCAACCCAGGTGGTGTTCAGCAAACTCAGTTTGGGAGGCAGGTCCCCAAACAAGACTGGAGCAGGATCTGTAAGACAATTCCTTCCTCTGCTTTCTTTGGGTGGCAGAGAACTAGGGCACTTCTCAAAGGAGATTTCAGAGAACTTCGTGTTGGCACAGGGATCTTTGAAGTTTAAAATAGCAGCTAATTTAGGTAAAATGTCTTCTCTGCTCTTGATCCTCAGAAACAAGGACTTCCAGGAGGTGACACTGGAGAAGGATGGAGTAGTCCTGCTCCACTTTGCTTTGGCCTATGGGTTTAGAAACATCCAGAACTTGGTGCAGAAGCTGAAACGAGGGAAGTCTCCGTATCACTACGTTGAAGTCATGGCCTGCCCATCAGGTGAGGCTGCAGGGGGGGTTCCACTGGCTGGAGCTGTAAGAAGCTGCAGGAAACTGTAACTAAAATGTAAGAACAACACCCAGTTTCTCACATCCTGAATATGGTGGTGGCAAAGCCTTGAACCTCTTGAATGGTCACAGCATGAGAATTTCAGTGTCACTCCTGTTTATATTTTCCTACCTAGAAGCTGGTGATTCTTCAGTAATTCCAGTTAAATTCCAGTGTGTAAAATTTGCACAATTAGTGCTTTTAAGGAGGTCCTCTGAGCTCTTTGGTACAGGAGGAGATTCTCCCTCTATAATTGTCCAGAACTGATCATTAGGCTTTTATTGAACACTTTCTAGAGCTGTTGAAGACAGGCTCTTCCCACCTACTCTCTTCCCTTCTCAGCTGGTGCAGGCCCTGCTTTTTCTGCCTCTCTGTGGCTCTGCAACACCAAGCTGCTGCCCTGGGCTCTGTCCCCTGAGGCCCACACAAGGAGACCACCTCATCTGCTGCCCCAGAGGCTGCTCAGCACCAGGACACTGCTTTGAGCGACCACAGGCTGCACAGCTCCACTCCCAGCACACCTCCACCCCACCAGCACACCCACAACGTGGCCTGGGCACGTTTATCTTACCTTTAGGCAAGGCTCCAAGGGGGCTCTGACGTGGATTGGGGTTCTGGCCCTTTTCTGGAAGCAGGAGATGAGCAGCAGAGCTGCCTGTAGCTTCTTCCGCACCTCCACACCAGGCTGACAGCCTCAGGCTCAGCCCACCCTGCTGGTGTTAGATAACAGGGGAGGAAGGAACCCACCCTTAGAGTGGTGCTCTCATTTCTACAACTCTTTGCAGGTGCAGTTGGGTCCCTTTGCTAAAGCTGAAGGGTTTCCTGACCTGGGGGGGGTGTGTTCTCACTCTCTTGCACACAGGCTGTTTGAACGGAGGCGGCCAGATCAAACTGGAGGGGGAATCCAGCAAGGACCAGCTGCAGCAAGTGGAGAGGTTGTACCAGTCCCTTCAGGCCTCAGTGCCAGAGCAGAACCAGGCTGTCACTGAGCTCTACCAGCAGTGGCTGGGTGGTGCCAGGTCTGAAAAGGCCACGGGAGCTTTGCACACCCAGTACCACGCCGTGGAGAAACCCAGCACTGGGTTCAACATCAAATGGTGATGGGGAGAGCGAGGCTGTGAAGCCCACACGTGGACACTTGGTGCCTTTTTAACTCTTCTGTGGCTAAGACTGAAAAGACAGCTCAGGTTCTGTGCCACCCCTGGGAGTTTGGCAGTTCTGAGCCCTCTGGGATGGGACGGTGGCATCCACAGCAGCAGGAGATGGCAGCTCCTGCAGCTTCAGCTTTATGGAGTGATGGAAATAAAACCCAAACACTGACTTAGGGCCCACGTCCAAAGCAGCAGTGATGCACCCCAGCCTCTGTGTGGTCGTTGAGGACTGAAACACCCTTTACAACCCAATCTCCCCCCCAAACAACTGAGGAGTTTCAGGGTCTGGAGGCTTTGGCTCACCACTGGACCATGGCCCCACTGAGCTGAGCTTTACACTGTGTGCTGGAACCTCCTGTCCACAGCACAGAGTTTTATGGCTTATTTAGTTACAAATGGTCTGATTAGACCTTGGGTACTGTTCCTTGTGCCCTGTGCCCTGGCAGGGGTGGGGACCAGGCTCACCTGAGAAGCAGCATCTCAGGGGCTGTTCTGTTGCCTGCTGAAACAAGGCATGAGTGCATGTTTAGGAAGAAAAAGCCATAATGGTTTGGGCTTTTTCCCCCTTTAATAATAACAATTGTCTCTAATAACTGCAGGCATTTACACCTCTCTCTTCCTCTCCCTAAATACACAGTAAAGTCACACACCTGTCTCATCCACCCCATCCCCAACAGCCAGTTACCCATGGATAATATCCTCAAATTCAAAGAAAACCTTTTACAGTGTGAAAGCAAAGCTGCCACGTGGCTTTGTCCCACAAACCCCTGGAGCTGGTGGCTGCATCCAGCCTGGACTGAAGCCTTGCCTGGAACCTCAGCCAGGACAACCCCCAGGCAGTCCCTGCTGAGCTGCCCTGCCCCTTCCAGCACCTCCTCTGGCAGAACTCACCCGGGGCCTTCTCCAGGCTGCCTCCACTCTTTACCAAGAAACAATGCAAAAGACAGGTGTGGTTTTTTTTAGAAATGTTTTTAATGAAAAGCTTTACACCTCCCAGGTGTTGTTGGGGAATTCACAGTGTTCATAAGGCAGGATCCTCCCACTGCCTCCTCGCCTGGCTCCTTCCACAAGCCACTCAGTAGTTGCAGTGAGTGCCCTGCTCCATGGGAAGGTTTTTAACCCCCAGTGTTCTGCTAAATCACAACATTTTCACCTCCAGCAGGAGACACCCCTGCTAAGGAAGGTGCTGAGGGGCCAGGACCACAAGCCCTGTACAGTGCCCATGCAGCTTGTGCAGCAGGATTAATTCCTCCCCCTCCTGGGGAGCACAGGAAATTCTAACGCTACAACTTGAGGGGAAAATAAAACCTTAGTTGAGTTTCTAGCAAGGGAAACAACAGCCCCAGGTGAGGCTGCAGGGGGGATGGATGCACCTCACAGTCCACAGACCCTGAAGTTGACTCTGTTCCAGAGTCAGGAGCTCTAAAATTGACAACCAACACCTCTGAACACAACACCCAGTGAAGGACAAAAAAGAAAACCACTTTGCTACTTGGCAACACACCTCCCCACCACCTCCAGATAAAAGCTTCACACCTCTCTCACACTTAAAAAAAACCCCAAAATACAACTCTGGCTGTGCACAAGCTGAGGCTGAAGAGCTGGAGCTGCTCCCCAACTCTGCTTCCACAGACAAGGCAACGGAAATACAACTTAGAGCTGAATTCCTGTTCCAGTTTTTTTATCTTGAGGGAGGAAAAAAAACCCAAAACCAAACCAAAAAGCAGCAGTGGGTGTGTCACAGCACGCTGTGATTTGGGGAGTAAAAGCTGTCAGGCCTTGAAATGCATTTGAAGAGCCAGTGGGTGGGAGCACACCTCCCTCCAGAGCCCCCCTGAGCACCCTCAGCACGGCCGGGGGGGATTCGGTGACTCCCCTGCGCCGGCAGCTGAGGGACAAATCCCCCCCTGTGTGCTCCAGGGGAAGAAAGACCCAAACCCCGCCAGCAGCAGCGAGGGTTTCTGAGAGCCTGGATCCTCCCGAGTGCCAGCGGGAACACCAGTCCCCTTCCTGCTTCCTCTGGGAGAGCCACGAGCCTCCCCAGCCCCTCCACGGGAGCCCCCCGCGCGTCCCCGTCCCCTGGGGCTCACTGCGGCTCCAGGACGGGGCTGAAGAGCCCACAGTCGAACGCCAGCACGGCCTGGGGGGGGGGCCGCTCCTTGGGACTCCGAGCA